TGCCGACTAAATATTTAGTCGCCAAAAGGTTGGAAAATTAATTAAATAATACATTTTTGCCGACCAATTTTTTTGTCGCCAAAAGCCTTAATTATTGTTAGCGACCAAAGATTTAGTCGCAGAAAAAGTTTTTAGCTACTAAATATATTAGTCGCTTAAAGTAAATACTCTCGTTTTGGCTACTAACATTTTAGTCACCTAAAGTCAAATTTTTTTGGCTACTAAAAGGTTAGTCGCCTAAAGTGTTATGTTTTTGGCTACTAAAATTTTAATCGGCAAATAGTTTGTGTTTTAGCTACTAAACATTTGGTCGCCTAAAGTCTCACATATTTCACTACTAAATTTTTAGTCAGCAAAAGTTTTTTTATTCTTCAACTTTTGTTTTCAGTTACGAAATATTTTAGTTGCCAAATGTGTGATTTTTTTTTTTACTACAAATCTTTTAGTCTCCAAATGTTTGATTTTTTTTCTTTTTTTTGCTACAAAACTTTTAGTTGCCCAAATTATTTTCCAAAATTTTTTTAGCTACTAATTGTTTAGTCGCCAAAAACATGATATTGTGTTTTATCGCAAAATTATAATTTCTCCCCAACTTGTCTATATTCCATGCAAACTGTAATACGTATATAAACAAAATGATATATATATATATATACTATCAATCATCCCACAATCTGCATCCATATACAAAAAAGTAAATAACTTTAAATGTTGACGTTCATACAAACCAACTATTGTCCAAACTAAAATAATAATTTCATATAAAATATAGAATCATATAAAAATCAAAGCTCTCCGTATACAAAAAAATTCATTTACTACCATACGAAATGACTATTTGGCATGGTACAAATTACCATCGTAATCTGTACCATGACAAAAGGTGATGTATGTACCACGAGAAAAGTTTTTCTATAGACCATGACAAACAGTCATATATATACCACGACAAAAGGTCATATATATGTACGATGACAAATGGTCGTATATGTATGACGACAACTAGTCATAAGGCCTCCAAGTTGCTTTCCTACTTGGGTTGGCGCCCAATGGGAGTCCAAGGTACTGAAATGGCATAGTTCTTACTTTACAATTTAGCACTGAAGCAAACTCCAACATCTCCTCATCTGGAACACACACTCCACTAACAATGCTTTTGTGGTAGTTTATCTTAAGACCTGAAAGCATCTCAAAACACCTCAGAATCTTCTTAAGATTTCGCACCTCCCGAACATTAGCTTCACACAATATTAGTGAATCATCTGCAAACTGAAGGTGAGTAAGTTCCACCCCACCGGTGCCAATCTTCACCCCTTTTATTATCCCCAAATTCAAGGCTCTTGACATTAAAATGCTCAACCCCTCTGCAGCTATATTAAACAAGAAAGGGGACAGGGAATCCCCTTGTCTAAGACCTCTTTGAGGACTGAATTCCTCAGTAGGAGCTCAATTGACAAGCACAGATAATCTCGCAGAAGTTATACACACCCTAATCCACTCCACCCATTTCTCTCCAAACCCAAAATTTTCCATCATTGAGAACAGAAACTCCCAATTCAGTGTGTCGAAAGCTTTCTCAAAATCAAGTTTTAATATCAAACCTCTCTTCCTAGATTTCTTCCAACTATCCATAACCTCATTAGCCACCAACACACCATCTAGAATGAATTTATGAGAAACCAATTTACATTTGTTATAATCTCTTTGAATTTATATTGTAAGAGTGTTTACTTGTTGTGAACGTTTACATCACTACATGTGAATAAAAATGTGTTGTTAATTAAAAATATAACATGTTGTGAACGTTCACATCACTACATTAGATGAGAGAGAATTTTTCGAAAAAGTGTTGTGAACGTTCACATCAGATGAGAGAGAATATTCACATTATTTTTAATGTGTTGTCAATTAAAAATATATTTACATTATATAATAATATAAAATAATAACATCAATATTATTTAATTTGTGTATAAAATTTTCTATGCCTTGATCATTTCCCTTCTCTTTCCTTCCCCAATATTAAATATCAACATTAAATATAAGAGCATAAGAGTCTAAGAAAATAGTATAAATCAAGAAAAAAGACTTTATGAAATAAAAGTATAAATACATGAGACTAAGTGGATTAAAAAATTCTTTCATAGATTTCTTGGGTTAGAACACTTCTAAATGAGATTTATCAATAAAAATTCCAATTTCATAACATCTATAAACATTGTTAAAATTGTCGTTATTGCTTAAGAGATCAATGTAATTTTCTCAAAATTATGAAGTTAACTATATTGTTTTCATTACATCTAGAAGGTCAGTATAATTTACCAAAGAAAAATGATTTACAAACAAAATTTTTCTATAAAAAAATTCAACCAGAATGATGTGACAGCGGTAATGTGAAAATTACAAGTCATAATAGAAGATGTTTAATTAAAAATAAAAGAGAAAAAAATTCCATATAGAGTCTTTTTTCTTTTTTTCTTTTTTTGTGTAATCATTATTACCATTTACCCCAAAAAAAAAATCCTCCAAATATCAGTTTTTTTAAATAGTTTGTAGGCTTGCAACTCAAATCTTCCATCAGTTTGGGTGGTGAGTCAGAGAGGTTTTATTTGTCATTTGATCTTTGAGGTAAGATTATCTTATCTATTGCAACTTGATATTTTTATAATTTAAAAAGATACAAAATATTGATTTATATTATTGTTACTTCTTTTTAATTACTTAAATAAGAGGTCAAATGTCTTTATTTTCCAGTGTTAATTTAATGTTATCATTAGTGAGAGTATTATATAGCAAATGGATTCCAACACCAACTAGTCCTTGTGGGGGAGCTCAGAGCTGGATGGAAAGGATCGCAGAGACATATGAGAAGCAATAATGCTATATTATCATATTTTTATACTATTTTCATAATATTGATGTAATGGGTCCTATTATTTATGTATATTTTTAATGGAGTGTTTACAATTAGGAACTAGGGATGCCGTCATTTGTGAGCTAATCTAGGAACTATTTTCATAATTTGAATCATTTATTTTATAAGATTTATTGAAAAGATCATCTATATCAAAAATTAAGTTGATTAAAAATCTATAATTATATATTATATCATATTTAATTTTAAAAAATGAAAGGTAAATATTTATTGAAAAGATCATTTATATCAAAAATCAAGTTGATCAAAAATCTATAATTATATATCATATTTATTTTTAAAAAATGAAAGGTAAATATGATTTTGATAATAGACTACATATTTTTTTTAAACAAAATCATATAACTATAAATATTTGATTAATTTAATTATTTATATGAGTAATTTAATTAACAAATCTAATAAAGTAAACTATTTGAATTATGAAAATAGAGTCAGGAATGAGCCCCCACACAAATGGCATTGCAGCAAGTACAACTCTCATCCAACAATTAAATTGGCACATTAGATAAAAATAAAGGATCATTATAGTATTATTATATGAGAAGAGACAAGCCTTCAATAATTGTTGCTTCCTACCTGTCTCCCTACTCCATTGTTTTTTTTTTTTATATATATATAACTCATTTGTTGCCCAACTTTATCTCTAATTCAAAGGTATAATCATAAAAACTAATGCAGTATAACCACTTTATAGTCATTGAATTGTCCACAATACCCTAATTGATATGTTATTAAAACGTAATGTTTATCACTAAGAGAATTGAAAGGGCGATTCAATATATTAAAATCTTGCTAAAGTAGGATCTTGAAAAAGGTTATATGTATACGACTTCACCTTATTTCTGTATAAATTGTTTCCATTACTCAAACATGTATCATCAAGATATTAATGATAACACTTATCATTGAGTCAAACAATCCTTCTATGAATTCTTATTTCATAAGCAACTCTTCTATTGCAATATATATTGCTAGATGAGTTTGGCATTTGGCATCAGCATAGAAGTCACATTTTTTTTTTTTTTAACTTTTGCCTTTAGTATTTTTTTTTTTATTTATGTCAAAAAAAATTATTTTTCAAGTCCATTTAATGTAAAAGGATCGACAAAGTAAAAGGAAAAAAGTCAATAAATTTTTTGGGGGGGGTTTATTTTTTGTCTTTAATGAACCTTTTTTTTTTATATTTACTTTTCTGATCCTTTTTCAAAAAATAAAATTAAAAATATCAACATAAACACACCAAAAAAATTAACAAAAAAGCCAATCTCAAACATAAAAACTACAAAATGAAATGTGTATTCAATTCTATTGGGTGTGGATCAAATAAATTCTTTATAACTCAGTGCTTTCATGTGTTATTAATCAATTTGCAATATGTATTTTATAAGGAAACTATTGCTTTAACATTTTCCAACACACACCTAGTATCTTATGAATGAACCATTGACATTGGTTGGCCTACAACTTCGTCACATGGCATACCAATTTAAGAAACCTAAACCAAAAATAGATACAAAAAATGCCATGAAAGGTTAAGCAAATTAGCAAAAAGGGTATTTGTGGAATCCTAGAAAAATTATCATAGGTAACAAATATACCATGTTGATATATTCGTTACATAAAATAATCACGTATGAGAAATCTGATACATTGAAAAGAAAATTATAAGGATGATAAGAGGATCATCTGATATGATTTTTCTACAATAATTTATCTAAAAATGAAGTAAAATGATGCGTACTTTTTTTAGAACTAAATGTTCTAAAATGATATAGTTTTGCATCAATTTTAAATTTAAATTATTGAATTATCCCATCAAACTTATTATGAAGTGATCATGACTGAGAATCCTGAATGCGAGGATGAGTTGGTAATTTTAGAATGAATGAAGCCAGATGACCTAAGACGTACCTGGTTGGCACCTTCCACAGCTAGCTCACTATTGTTGGGCTTCGACATGCCCTCTTCCAAGCATACCCACATGAAAATTATTAATTCTCCCTCTTTCTCTCTCTAATTATTTTCCCATTCTAGAGAGAGAAAGAGAGAAAAATATCAGTGTCTCAATCAAAATGCCATTCCCATTCCCTTTCCACCTACAAAAACCCATCCACATTCCATTCTTCCCATACCCTCTTCCCTTCTCTAAACTTATTGATTTTGCACCCTTTCACTATTTTCACATAACATTTCACAACTTATTCTCAAAAAAATATGAGAGAAATTCTCCACATCCAAGCTGGGCAATGCGGCAACCAGATTGGCGGCAAGTTTTGGGAGGTCGTGTGTGAGGAACACGGCATCGACACCACCGGAAACTACATCGGCAATTCTCATGTTCAACTTGAAAGGGTCAATGTGTACTACAACGAGGCAAGTGGTGGCCGGTACGTCCCTAGAGCGGTGTTAATGGACCTAGAGCCTGGTACAATGGACAGCCTGCGTACCGGGCCCTATGGAAAAATATTTAGGCCCGATAACTTTGTTTTCGGGCAAAATGGGGCAGGAAACAATTGGGCCAAGGGGCATTACACCGAGGGAGCTGAGCTGATCGATTCGGTTCTTGATGTTGTGAGGAAAGAGGCTGAGAATTGTGATTGCTTACAAGGTACATTAATGTCTAAATAATGTCTCCTTGTTGATATGGTGTGGAGTGTGGAGTACCAACGGCATCATAATCCCTCGATTACAACTCAATTTCTATAATAAAAAAAAAAATTTCAAAAAATGTCAATTTTATAAATAATCGATAACAACACATCAATTTCAACATATAATCAATAATTTCAACAAAAAATAATTAGTTATAAGACAAACTAGTCAGTTATGGCAATTTGATCCGACCATAGCTTTTCAAATTTTGAAACAACAAAAAAATCCCACAATGCTTAAACAATAAAATGATGGACAAGGTTGACTAGGAATGAAAAAATGGGGTAATCTTTTGGCAACAACCCAAAACATAGGATGATATGTAATTTGTAATTCATGAGTAGATTTTCATTTTGAAATATGAATTAATGTATGATGATGATGATGATGCTTAGGGTTCCAAATATGCCATTCACTGGGAGGAGGGACAGGGTCCGGAATGGGGACCCTGCTCATATCAAAGATAAGGGAAGAATATCCGGATCGAATGATGCTCACTTTCTCTGTCTTCCCTTCCCCTAAGGTCTCCGATACAGTGGTTGAGCCCTACAATGCCACCCTCTCAGTCCACCAGTTGGTCGAAAATGCCGACGAGTGCATGGTTCTTGACAATGAAGCCCTCTACGATATCTGCTTTCGCACCCTCAAGCTCACCAATCCCAGTTGTAAGTACACCATTCATTATTATTAACTCCCATGTTGTTAGCACTAGTGTTAAGAACACACAAGATTTTCACATAACGAGACAAATTCGTAATTGTTGCAGTTGGTGATTTGAATCACTTGATATCAACCACCATGAGTGGAGTCACTTGTTGCCTCCGATTCCCAGGCCAACTCAACTCCGACCTCCGCAAACTCGCTGTCAACCTCATCCCCTTCCCTCGCCTCCACTTCTTCATGGTCGGTTTTGCCCCCTTAACCTCCCTCGGATCCCAACAATACCGCGCCCTCACCATTCCCGAACTAACCCAACAAATGTGGGATGCCAAAAACATGATGTGCGCTGCTGACCCCCGCCACGGCCGCTACCTCACCGCCTCCGCCATGTTTCGCGGAAAAATGAGCACGAAAGAGGTTGACGAGCAAATGATCAATGTCCAAAACAAGAACTCCTCGTATTTTGTTGAGTGGATCCCAAACAACGTCAAGTCGAGCGTCTGTGACATCCCACCAACAGGGTTGTCAATGTCGTCAACGTTCATGGGGAACTCGACATCAATTCAGGAGATGTTTAGACGTGTATCCGAACAGTTTACGGTGATGTTTAGGAGGAAGGCTTTCTTGCATTGGTATACAGGAGAGGGAATGGATGAGATGGAGTTTACCGAGGCCGAGAGCAATATGAATGATTTGGTTTCGGAGTATCAGCAGTATCAGGAGGCTGTGGCTGATGGTGATGAAGAAGAAGAAGAGTATGAGGAAGAGGGGATGACAAACTAAGAGGGTTTCCAATGATATATATGTGTTGTGTTTGTTATGAGTGAGGTGAATAAAAAAGGGGAATGCTATTGATCTTGAGTGATTGGGTTTTCTTTTCACTGTAACAATGGCGTGAGTTATTTTTCAGATTGCTATTGTTTATTGATTATGTGATTTGAGCGTAAATATTGTTCACAATGATATTGAATGGATTTGTTTATTAAACATGCCCACATGAACTCTCTCATAACTGATTAATCGATGAATAATTTCCCGTTTGGTTGATGCAGCTTTCTATTTACAATTTATAAGTCAATTCAATAAGTTTTTTTTTTAGTACATGCAAAAAATTACAGCACACTGTCCCAATAAGGTTTGATATCGTTTTCATTTTTTGCATTTTAAAAACCAAAAACAAATAAAAAATCAAAAAAAAATCCCATCGTTTTTATTTGGTGCAAAAATAGTTTTGAAACTTTTTGGTGTCTTCCAAAGTGAGTTGTTTCCCAAAACAAAGCAAAACAAAACAAAACAAAAAAAAAAAAAAATCTAAAATCAACTTTCAAAAACGATTTGCCAAATTTCCTGAAAACACAAACGGATAACAAAAACGATACCAACAGGCAGTTCAAGTTCTAAACTAGATATTCTTCACTTCCCTATAGTACTCTCTTCCATTTTCCATTTTCCAAGTTCCAATTCATTTTCACCATGCTAGAATGATCTCCAAAACAAAGCAGAAAAGCAAAAAAAGAAGGCAATGACATATAAAAGCATCAATTTGACATCAGCAGAAAGCCACAAAAGTACTGTACATAAATTACAGCATAGCAACAATCACTTCTACACAACCTACTCATATAAACCTAACGGTTGACTCCTTTATGAACATAATCTGATCCAATAGTATCCGAGAATTATTCCCAAAGTTCGTGTTATTGGAAAAAAGGTCAGCTACCTGTTAGCAGGGACAGAATTGTCATAAACACAAACGGACGCATCCCGCAGCCCCAATAAACTGACCAAACCAACCTATCCAATAATGTTGCAAAAGAATGATTCAACACGACAACAAAACTAACCAGTCATGCACGCAGAGTACAGAGAAGCTATTCGTGTTCGTTAAAACCTGTGTTTTCTTTTGAGGTTGTAGTAGGGCTTGTGTTTTGCCTGAAAACCAAGAAACTTGTGTTTGATGCATGATGAAAAGAGGTTGAGGATGGACCACCTCTTTTCCATTGTCAGGAAGTCGCGTTCCTCTTTTCTTCGAGTATTGAACCCTCTTTGAGTGCAATTTGTGCCTCGTTATCTCTTCTTAAAGCAAAAAGACTGGCAGCTTGTAGATATGATGCAATGTGCCAAACAGGGGATATTACTTGCGCTTGCACTGCATCGTCAAGGGCTTCTTGCGGCATGTCACTCATGAGATGTGACAGGCTACATCGAGCAAAAACTGTTGGGGAGACCATGGTCCCAACTTCTATAAACTGCCAAAAAGAAGGAACGTGGGGGGGAACTATCAATTACCTTAAAGCTGAAAACATACTTTCATGCAGAAGAGCTAAAAATAAGATGAGGGAACACTTAAAAGAGTACTTTTATGGTTTATTGAGTGGGCAAACCCTTGTGACATATACCAGGCATTATTTATAACTAGAAAAGATCCAACTTTAGGATAACAACCCAATGTGGTTTGCCGACTTCAATATATTTTTGGTGATCTGTATATTCTAATTAAATCGTAGACAATTGTTGGATTGCTTATATACATTTGTAGACCCATTCCTAATAGCTTAAGCTTTTGGGGTTTTTTTTCGGGTGGATGCTTTTGGGCTAATTGGTGATCTAACATGGTATCAAAATTCAGGTTAGAGGAGGTCTTGGGTTCAAGTCTCTACATTTGCAATCTTTCTTCTTTGTATGTATGGATGTTTGCATCTTCACATGCAAGATGGGATTGCACATGAAGGAGGGTGTTAAATAAATTAATAAACATTGTTGAGCCCATTCCTTACCAGATTAAGCTTTTGAGATAATAGATAATCTAACAGTCCAAAGTCAACAATTCGCTTTTTCAAACATTATATTGACCAATGTAGAGACAATCACCAACTAACCCCCTCCCTTCCACCTTGTTCACAAGCCATGAGATATATTTATCTCTTAAAAAACAATGATCGGAGAGAAAGATGAGGGCTGCAATTTATAAAACTGAGTTAATACATTATCCGAAATTTAACCCCACCCAAGAAATAGCAGTATGACAGAGATGCAAATCTAGGTCCGCAAGCAAAGAGGTTTTTGATCGCAGATAACAACTTGGAAGTTAAGTGCGAATTAATTCAAAGAAAACTTGTATACAGGTGGTAAACATTTTAACCTGCGTGTAGCATTCAACTGCAGCTCTGAAATCTTTATGCCGGAAAGCAACATCACCCTTTTTCTTTGAGTTCAGTGTCTCCTGCATCTGGTTCGTCCACATCTGGAATGAAAGCTGCAAGCATGTAAAAACAGTATTAAGCAGGATTCTAAGGATGGATGACGACTATAACTGTAAGACATAAGCACAAATAAAAGCACCAACCAAGTGATAATAAGTGTATATATATCCTTGTATCTATATATATGTGTGTGTGTGTGTGCGCGCATACACGTATACAACAACTAAGTATTCAGTTCTGTCATGAATAAATGAAAACACCTGCGTGAACGACAGTGTAAATTCAGCTCTCTCTCACATAATTATTTCAATATGTCTATCTCAAGAGAGTGAATTCACTATTCTATCAGGACGCATATTTATAGTCTATAAAAGCCATAAAATGGAGTAAAATATTCTATAACAGATCTCACCCAATATCATGGCATAATATGACCTAATTTCTATTCCTAAAACCCTGAAAACTACTAATAACAAAACTGAAACAAGAAAACTTCTAATCACAAAACTGAAACAATTCGAGTCAATGACTGCTAACAAGACTCAAGCCACTGAAATAAACATAAGAGTAATATGCTTCAGGATTTGTGAATGCCATCTGCCCAGTAGCAACAATAGCCTCTTGTTGGAGGGAACTCAGACGACAGATTTATATATATGCCGACAATTGATTGCAATAGTCTTCATCACCCTCCAACATAAAAATGATTTTCACAAATTCCTGGATTTCATAGTTCAGATTACTATTGATGATCAAAGATATAGCATAAACACTTGCAAAGGATTTTGGGGTGCAGGCATTCCCAATGATTGCAAGATGTTCTACCCAATACCTAGTTCCTATCTATTTTGATATCAAAGCCCATATTATAAAAATTTCAATATCAAAGCCCCAAGTTACATGAGCATGTAAATTGCATAAGTAAATAGGAGGTTTCAGAATTTTGGGAGCCATGCCTCTACCTACTCCACCTCGCCTATAGTGTCAATGTCTCCATGGAGGACCAAATTTGAAGATAATTACAGTAACAAGATGAAATACAAAAGTACCCATGTATTTTGAAATAGTCCATTAACTTTTTAAACATGTATCAGAAACAAACCTCAGTTGCTGCTCCCTCATCATCTTTATACCCAATCTTCTCTAAGATCTCATGTATGGCAGTCAAATCCATTCTTACGCAAGCTTCACCAAGTGGGGATAGGGACAAAGCTGCAGAACCATACGGTATACCCATCAATACATGAGAAGGAACCTGCAAAACAAAATGCTATCAGCTTTCAACACATGGTAAGGCTTGGTTTGGCATAATCTAAAAAAGTTAAAAAGTCAAAAAGTCACTATCCTATTTAAGTCACATCATTTTATTTAAGTCACACCAGCTCTCTACCACATCACTTTAAACCCAACCCATATTTCACGTTTTTTCGTAAAAAATCAAAAAGTGCACTTATTTAGATCATCCCAAACCACTCCTTATTCCAAAAAACAACCAACCTCAGTTTCCTTCTGAAGAGGAATCAAAGCAGCTACTAATGATTTTGGATTTGGCCGCTCTCTTGGCTCAAATTGCAAGCATCTTGAAGCTAAACGAACCAATTCAGTCCCTTCATCATTGGAGAATTGACCTTCCAAGCAAGAATCCGTTAACGTCTGAATATTCCTGTCCCGTATAAGGTCAAGAGCCTGATACAAATTATTCAACTGAATATTAGTTGCAAAGTATATGAAATTAAGTATTTGAAAATTCAAATGAGAGACCACAAACCTTGCAAGGAAATACCTAAAGCTAATGTGAGAGACAAACAACAAATTAGAGTTCTGTCAAAAAATGAAACCTGAAGCAGGCATAATAAATCAATACATCTATCGTAAATATTACATTAATGTCGACTTGTCTGGCTAAAGTCCACTTGTTCATTCACTTACACTTTCTTTCAGTTGAGAAAGCTATAAACTATTGAGATCAAGGTTTTAAAAAGCGGCCGCAACCGTTACATAACGGCGTTACGTAACGGTTTTGGCGGTTACCGCTACCCGTTACGGCCGCTTTTGCAGTGTGATTGAGATTCACAGGTGTGTCGGCCGTAGTGGCTGCCATAGCGGTCGTAACGGTGCCGTAACAGCCGTAACGGCCTGTTACGCACCGTTACGTAAGGTTCCAAACTGTTTCTTTCGAAAAAAACACACAAAAAAAATAGCTAAAAATGGGAGAAGAGGGATAGAGAGAAGAGGGAAGATAAAGAGAAAAATAGAGGAGCAAGAGATAAAGAGAGAGAGAGAGAGAAGAGGGACGATGAACATGTTATTGATTTGTTGAAACTATAAGACCTATACTATTCTATTCAGCTGCGATCACTAAACCATTTTGTTTGTTTGTGTCTATCTATATATTGTTTGAAAATAATAATAATAATAAGTGTGATCATTATCTATTTGGCTTGGTTAAAATATGTATATATATATATTTAGGCTCTTATTTATTCTCTTACTTTTGTCATTATTTATCTTCTATATAATAGTTAGCGATTAATTTTTTGTAAAATATAGTCATTATTATTAAAATAAAATGTAAAAAACTCAGTTTATAGTGATTTAAAAATATGAAATATATTGGATCATACTTAAAAATTTATAAAAATTGATCAATATTTATTTTTAACCCAATAAATATGATCATGGAAAAAAAATATGCGTATCGATAAGTTTTTTTCAAATTGTGCAAAAAATAAAAAAATTCACGGTTCCGGTTACCTACAGCCTTTACACCCCACAACCATAACCACGTCACCGCCACCGTTACGGTGACCGCAACCGCTTTTCAGAACCTTGATTGAGATAATTATGATGATCGTGTGTACAAAATCCTGTCAAATATGGCTTTCCACAAAAGGTGAAAACACCTATTGATTTTTCATTAAATATATTTTTGCTACAAGAAAAAGTTGAAAGGCTTTCCCCAAGTTTGACACTTGGTAGATGATGCGCTGACAGTGACAACACTGAGAAATCAAACTTGAGAAACCTAAATTACACAAAGAATATATGACAATTCTAAAAGCTGCACAAAGCATCACAACTACACAGGATAGATTATTCTGTGCAATAGATACAACATCAACCAGGAAAACCAGATTTACATGACTTGAGATGGCTTAACATTTTTCACTACTACTTCATTTTCTTTCTTTCTCCTTCAATTTAATTATTTATTCTTTTGGCTCCATAGGTGACAGTAGGCTACACATCTATCAGGATGGAAACTCATGAAAATTCATTCATCAAGTTTTTCTCATTCAGAGAACCATAAATTATGCGCATTGAAACACACACACACAAAACAAAAACAAAAATAAAAAAAGAAGCAAAAAATTAAAGATTGCTTTAAATTCACATAAACTTAGCAGGGACAAGACTTACATGGCTTGGAGGAATGTGCTTTCCACTGAGAAGATCAAGCAAAAGGGTACCAAAGCTATAAATCACACTTTCTGGAGTTACTCTTCCTACAAGAAAGATGAGAAACCTAAATCACTTGAAACTTCAAAATAAACAAAATAAAAGTGATTATGAAATGTTCAAGAACATTCATTCAGCATTTAAGCAACATCAGAAAGAATCATATGAGTTCCCAAGACAAGAAGCTCTGTAGTTAATTAGATAAAGCCTTCACAAGATGATCCTTTTTGTAAAGTATACCAGTCATAACCATCAATGCTTTACAGACATGTAGACATATATCTATCCATTTATACCTATATACATATATATATATATATAGAGAGAGAGAGAGAGAGAGAGCATTGAAAAAGAAAAATAAAGAGAGAAAGGCTGGTCCCTCATCTATATGAGATAGGCTAAGTTTCACATTGTGACGTTAATTTTCTTCAACAAAGTGGACATGGCATTAATACATCAACATCAACATTGAGAAGGGGAAGAAAATCCAGGTGAGAGAAAGAGACACCTATTTTCCATGTGGAGAACTAATGCTGAGCCAAATAAAACGAGCATTTGAACTGACCATAAATAGAGATAATAATGTGACAGATCATGATAGACCTTTTATCTTTGCCAACCAGCCGTCATGGCTGAATAAGTTCCATCATGCAAATTCTATTAGTTTCAATTATTTATTGTAATAGCAAGCTCATAAAAGATTTGAGAGCAATTCAGTTCAAAGTTCAGGTGATATCAGCCAGTTGATTGACTCAAGACTATTAAATTTGACCTCATATGTAAGACAATTAGTTCTAAGGGAAGTAAAATCTCAACCAGTTGGATTGAGCGGCATACACTAAGTATTGGTGATGAATGAAGCAGAAGAAATTTCAACTAAGGAAAGAATGCCAGCAGTACTGAAGAGTTTGTTCTTTTCTCATCATGAATCAAGCCAAAAAGAATACTGTATCAAGTTTCCAGAATGGACTTGGCCAGTGGCTGGAGATACATCCTGAGAATGAATTTGGTTACCCATGTTAAAAGTTTTTTCTTTGGTAGGTTAAAAAAATAATTATTACAATATAAACATTAAGAAATGATGGTTAAAAGTTTATTACATCGTAACCACAAAATAGCTAATGGGAAAAAAAATAAAATAATGGTATACAGATTAGCAAATGCAATACCCTTTAAAGTTGGCAAGTGAGGATTCATGGCCCTAGCTCATGCAAACATCCGACCAAATATAGAAGAGTCAAAAATGTGTAAAGATAGACTTCTTTATGGATAAACATATATATGCTGAAGAAAGTAAATACCAGTCCTCAGGTACTCTGGAGGAGTGAATGCCAGATTCGTGCTATAACTTTTTCCATCTCTACTATTCTTCATTAAACCAAAGCATGACAGTCTAGGATTACCATCCTGTGATATAACATGATATGGCAATAAATAAATAAAATTCCATTTTGACCACCATTTTAATAAATAAATAAAAAGAAGAAAGAAATGTGTGTGTGTGTGAGAGAGAGAGAGATGCTGATACCAGTGGAAAATAACAGCATACTTACATCATCAAAGACTATTCGGTAAGCATTAAGATCATGATAAAGGGCACGTCCTTTGCTTGTACAGTATTCTAGAGCTTGTGCAAGACATAAAGCTACCCTTAAACGCATTGCCCACTTCATAGGCTGTGTTTCCCCTGAGTCAACAAATAAACAAAAATCCAATATTTTAGTTGAAATTACATCAAATAAGAGGATCTAACTAAACAAAATAAATATGAAATAATAAAAAGAATTGTGATTCAATAGAGAGGCAAACTTAGAAGTTAGCTCAAGTGTCCAAATGTGAGAGACGGAAGAGATTCCCCAAGTTTTTTGAACTTAAACTAGAGCGATGGAAAAGGTGAGCCAGAGCCACTACATTTTCCTTCAACACTCTTAATGAAAAATGAAAAATGAAAAAATAGTAATAATAAAAGGGAAAATAATGGCACAGGACCAGGTGCGGTATCTACTATATTATTTGATGTGACAAATAGACGTAAGTTTTTTCTTCTCACACATTCATAAAAATAGTAGCGCTCTGCCCACATCAATGATAAAATAGAGACCATTCAATTCTCTTATTTAGTGCGCGAAACAACGGCCCACTCTATGTACGGTAATAGATAATTAGATAAGCACAAAGATCACATGCACTAGACAGTAGTTGCCTAATAAAATGAAAGCATTGATGTATTTACTATCATCAACCACAATGTTCTGTTTTGATATGATGATACAACCTCAGAATCCCAACATAGAAATGAATGTTGGAGAACAGCAAAAGTACATGCAAAGACAACAAAAGTAGTTATAAAATCTAACAGACTTACAATGAAATAGGTGTTTTGCAAGTGTCTCATGGGGCATAAATTCAGCAACAAGTAACCTCTCATCACCTTCGCAACAACAACCAAGTAGATTTACTAATCTATGGTTCCTGAGTTGACCAACAGATCTTGCTTCTTCCTGAAGTAATAAATGGTAAGGAGTTCAGAGCTTAGTATTATGTACTCATAAAAATTCATATTGCAACAGGAAGGATAGTTGCCATGTTAAAAACCATTGAAAGATCAAGTCAAATACAAGGACCAATTGAATAAGCTTCAGAGGCACAATGTTTGTAAACTTGTTCAATAATGTTCACAAAATTCTGACAACTGTTCAAAGGTTGCCATCGCCAATGATTTCCCCCACCCGACCTTTGTCGCAAAACTGTGTAGATTGATTTCATGCGAAATAAAAAGAAAACAATAACAAGTATAACAAGATTAGGACACCAAAACTCAACATTAATCTCCCTTCAACCAATTACAACAGTCAGATATATATTAGAATTGTGTGTGATGTGAGTGATTTTCAAAATAAATCATTTTCATTTCAAGGAATGCGAATTGCATCACTTGATGATCAAAGGTTTCAGATAGAAAAAAAAAAATTTCAAACTAAGCAAGATAACCAAGCCAGACAAAGGATTTATAGTGAGAAAACCACTCAAACCAGAGCAGTTCCATATTATCTTCCAATCTGTCCAGTCTCCTTGAACTCTGCCAATTCACTTTCCACTAGCATGTCATGATCTCACAACCACGAACAAGCTTCCAGTCTCCAGATCAACACAAATCTTTTATGTGCTCCCTAACAATGGTTGTGTGCTCCATATGGTTGTGCATTGCTCACCCAACCTCACAATCACAAGGCTATAGAGTCCAAAAAAAGAGAACTCAAAATCACCGTAAAAGATCTCTCTATGGGTAACCCTTTACATGGAAGTCGTAAAGCCATTATAAAAGCTTCAAGGAAAACCTAAACAAACAAAAAGTAAAATACACTATGACTTAGATCAGATTCCTGAAAATAAAACACTCATTCAAACTAAATAGAGCACCAATCGAATTGTCACGTCTCTGGATTCAAGTTTTGAAAACAAAACCATATTCTAGGATAACATGCATTTGAACAAAACCACCGGAGTTTTCAAATGGTAAACCTACTGGTTTTCCACCTCTCTAGGTCTTGCGACAGAAATTATGGTTCTCTTTTGAACGGGGTCACTTGCATTCAAACTCAAGCATCAATGTTTCTGAAACAAATTTAAAGCTCGGGAAAGCTAAGTAAAAACCAAACTACAGGGAACTAAGATCCAATACCATTAGCTAATTTAGCCTGAGATCAAACTAAATTAACCAAGGTCACAAACCAATACCAAAAATAAACAACATCTATAACACCCAACCCAAGTGTGTGAATGCGCATGCATGAATGTATTATATTTATACCTAATTTACTCAGAGGTGCTATCCATGAACTTCTAGCCATCCTTCAGAGTAAATTGACTCCGAGGTGCTATCCATGAATCTTCTAGCCATCCTTCAGAGTAAATTGAGTATGTGCCAAGCTTCATTTCAGTCTCCATGATATTGGAACTAGGAATGTTCAGGGACTCAATGTAAGCTACAACATTATGGACTCCGTCTTTGGAGTTAAATTGCCCGCACAAAGAATGAATAAGGGGGAATTCTAAACATTTACCCTCACATTGTGTTGAATGTTACTTGAGTTTAGGAAATAACTAAAAGATACAATCATTAAGGACTTAGCCATCACTTGGACAGAGGCTATCACTAGGTATATTCCTGAAATGCTATCAAACCTAATAGCCGACAAATAATAACAGGAAAAGGCTTCATGAATCTCAAACAACATTGATAATTGAAAATACACATAATAATTTCACAAGTGACATGCAAAGTCAGAATGTTGTAGGGCACTTTGCAAAAAATAATGCTTTTAGGTTTGGCCATACTTACCAAGAACTGTCGGGCATCAGGCCAAGCAGATCTATTAAAGCGTTTAACAGCAATCCGCCTTTGATTCTCCACCTTCCCTTTATAAACAACATTTGGAGCCTTTTCCCCATGTTCAGAAACTATGTTCTCAACTGCAAATCCAGATGTAGCCATTCTAAGTTGTTCAATGGTGTATTCGCGAAATGTGGGCAAATCATCAGCTTCACTCTTCTCATTTTCTGCTGAACAAACATACAGATTGTTCAAACACAACCCTACTTGTCATCAAGCTGTGAAACAATAAGTCCGGCTACACATACCAGCTTTAGGTGCCTCATGAACGGGGCCATTTTGTTCTGAAACCCAACAACATGCAGTGAGTTTAGAGCACTGACAACCCATCCCAATACCAGAATTTGGTTAAAAAACCACCAACGAGACTTGAAGTGTATCACCAGGGTAGAAAGCAGCTCATTAACAAGCAATCCAGTTTCACACACAAATCCAATTGTGCTCCTTTTCAAGACCCATCAAACATACAACATTCAAAAATTAATAACTGTTTTACAAGGTTCATCATTCCCAAATCAAAACCCAAATCATGTCATGGCAATGGTTCCAAACTCAGAAAAATTCATGTTTGAATACTTCAAATGCACAAACATACCCACAAATCAACAACCTCATTCAATTGTTTCTCAAACACAAGCTTTACACATACAAAATACCCAAAAACAAACATACATATGAACAAATCTTTAATACAAAAATGAGTCAAACACAAGCACATACCATTCAAAAACGCAAATCTGAGCCAACCCAGAACACAAAGATCAAAAGGGTTTCCAATCCCGAAGTGGGTTCTCTGAAACTCCAAAAGCTCCTTTTACCGAGTCAACGAGGTTCAGAACCAATCAAATCAAAGCTCAATCACAGCAAGCAATAACACAACAGATACACAGAACCCAATAAGCTTTTTCCGAGCTTGATTCGATTGAAAGCACGGAAAACGAGTCTCTTAAGAGTATATATGCAGGTAAATATACGTATTATATGTGTAAGCAGATTCAAGGAAGTATCTTTATGTTATTTATGGAAAGTGGGTTTTGAGCCAAAAAAAGAGAATAATCAAGATCGAATGAGAGCTATAGAGAATGATGATGAGATTCGGATATACAAAAAAGTAGAAATATACAGATAGGCGTTATAGATCTTCTTCTTCTTCTCAGTGTGTGCGCGCCCCAAATCAAATCAAATCAAATTGCTCTCTCTCTCTCTCTCTCCGTGTTTTCCAATTTTCCACCGACATAAAAACCCTTTTTTTCTATAATTTTTTCGCCACCATAATCAATTGCACAACCATTGGCCACACAACTAAGCTTTTGAAAAAGAAAAAATAATGCAATTATATAATTGCCCCATTACCCATCAAAATAAATTTTTTTGGCACATAATACAGTAATGCTACGCCAAAAATTGACCAAATTTTTATTTGGACCCTAGCATTTTTCTAGAAAATATAACGTATTGTAGGATTGATATTCATCTACAATATGACATGGGTTACACTTAATTTTGTGTTTTGATTCCATACATTTAATCTCATCAAGATATGTAGGTATAATATAAAAGGTTGATAGATAAGAGCATCTCCAACGGTTCAGTATTTTTTTCACTAAATTTGAGTGAAAAATGGCTCATGTTCTCAATCTGATATCAGTTACTCCAACGGTGTATCAAAAGAATTGTCATGTCGTGGGTCAACTGGTTGGTCGACCGGTAAGTCAAAAAAAAATATTTTCGGTCGACCAGTTTTGAACTATTTGAACCTACTTATTTTGAACTGTTTGAACCTATTTTCGATTGACCGGTTGGTCGACCGACCGAACGTCTTGTAGGTTGACCGATGGGCCCATTTGCAACGTTACAGCACAGTGAATTGGTGAAGGCTCACGCAGATTCTCAGTTTGGTGAAAGTTTGGTGAAACTTTTGCGCCGTTCTCAGTTTGATATCAGTTTGGTAAAACTATTAGAGCAAAAAAAGTGACTTTTTTCATCAAATTCAAATTTGATATTGAATCTGATGAAACGTTGGAGATGGTCTAACAAGTGCAAATTTATGAGATTTGTGTTATTTGATATAATGTTTAATTTTACTTATTTATTTATTTTATTTTTTTTTATTATAAGAACACACATTAAAAGTCAACTGTAGCGAGCGCCCATGGATGATAATGAAGTTGATAGATAGATTTTGATAAATAATTAGACAGATAAATGTCTTTTTAGATAAATAATATTCTTTTGACTCGAAAAAAAAATATAAGTTCAAGTATATTGTCCCAACAATTTTAAAAATAGACCTCTCACATAACTACCATAATCAAAGACATAAAAATCATACGCGAACGGGCATATATGTATTATAAAATTTTTGTTTAAAATATAGATGATATATTTAATAATCTTGAATATAATAATGTGAGTCTCACTTTATATTTTTGCAGTAATTTTTTTCATTAATTTATAATCCTTAAATATTATACCTACTAAATTTGTTATCAAATAAATAATTAAATATTTTATATAAATGTGAAATCTATACTTTAATATATATAGAATGAAAATTATGTAAAAAAATAAAATTAGGCTAGACAAACTTTCAAACACATAGAAAGACCGTACATGTAGTTATAACTCGATGGTGAGTTGAAAAAACTAGCACGAGGTTCGACTCATGTGGTCTTATTATCATATTCATGAGTGCACAAGGTCAATTACGCGTACAAAATTGAAACTAAAACCAAACCATTCATTCATTACAAGTGCCATCATAATCTGTAAAATAGAGTTTTTAAAAGGGATGACAATGGAGGTTAATGGGGGTAGATATTAATTTTTTATTTTTATTTTTTTATAATAAATTTTTCTTATTTTTTATGGATATCACTCTCTCTATTTTTTAATAGTTATGAATTTTTCTCAATTTACTTTAATTCCCATTTTTATTTTATTTTTTATATTTAATGTTAACAACCATTTTTTTTATTTTTTTATTTAAGATTCATAACAAAAGCTAAATATACCTTCAATTTTTTTTCTTTCTTTTTTAATATATTTAATGTTAACAAGTCTTTTTTTTTTTTTAAGGTTCACAACAAAAGCTAAATATACTTTCAATCTTTTTTCTTTCTTTTTTAATATATTTAATATTAACAAAAAATTTTTTTAAAGGTTTTAGCTAAATATACCTTCTTTCTTTTTTTTCTTTTTTAATATATTTAATGTTAACAACTTATTTTTTTATTTTTTTTAAAGTTCACAACAAAAGCTAAATATACATTCAATCTTATTTTATTTTATTTGGTTCAACAACAAATCAAATACACATTAATTAATTAATTAAAAAGATTGTTTTATAATAATCAAATATATAATTTTGAAACAATCAAATAAGTTTTAGTAATTGAAAAAAAAATGTGGAAGAACGTGGAAGATTAAAAAAAAAATTACAACCATCTCTCTCACTCTCACTCTCACTCTCTCCCCTACATGTTACAAGAACCTGATTACAATGTTATAAGAGCTTGTTTGAAGAAATAAAATGTAAAAAAACCTATTTGAAGAAAGTGTTATAAGACTCATATAAAATTGTATCAGGGCATAAATAAGGAATTGTTTGTTGATCTCTTAGCCACGAACATTTTAGACATTAAACCATCTTTTTCTTAGCAAATTTGAACCGTTTATTTTAATTTATTCAAAATCTAATTATACCTTTTAATAAATCTGAACCACACATTTTAAGATATCTATGTCTTACCACACCCAATACATCCTCCATTTTCTTCCTTTAGTCCCCCACGAATTTTGTTGTTTGTTACTTTTAAAAAATAAAAAATATTTTTTCAATTAAATTTTTACTAATTTCACAACACCATCACCACTATTCTCACCTTCACTATCACACTACCATCACCATAGCCACTACCATCATCACTACCGCCATCACCCCACCACAAAATACATAACAAAATAAAATAATATAGAAAAGTAAACCGAAACCTGCACTAAACAGTGTCCTTAATTTTTTGTAATAAATTAAAAAAATTCTAGATATGCACAAAATTTAACAAGAATAATGTGTCAATGTTAATTAATGTGTATTTGATTTTATTGTTGAGCCAGATAAAATAAAATAAGATTGAATGCATATTTAGCTTTAGTTGTGAATCTTTAAAAAAAAAAATGGTTGTGAACCTTAAAAAAAAAATTTAAAAAAAACAAAAAAGATTGAATGTATATTTAGCTTTGGTTGTGAATCTTAAAAATTAAAAAAAGAATGGTTGTGAACCTTAAAAATAAAAAAATGGTAATAAAAAGAAAGATTTGATGTATATTTAGCTTTGGTTGTGGATCTTAAAAAAATAAAAATAAATAAATAAATAAATAAATGGTTGTGAACCTGAAAAAATAAATAAATAAATGGATAAAAGAAAAAAGATTGAATGTATAGTCTTGGTTGTGAATCTTAAAATAAAAAAATTTAAAAAAAAGGGAAATTAGTGGGTACCCATCCCCAACCCATCCCCTATGGATATTTAAAGAATATCACTTATCCTTCCCAATGAATAAGAAAAAAAAAAAAGGAAAAAATCCATGTATTTGGGTTAGGTCTCCATGGATACCCACAGGGTAGGTTACTCATTGTCATCCCTAGTTTTTAACCCCAAGCCTTGTGGGAGCTCCAATCTCTCAATCTAAATTTCTTGATTTTTTTATTTAAAAAAAGAAAACACTTTAGCATTTATTAACTTCTCCCAACCCCCAAGTCTTACCCTTATAATAACACTTTAATGCATTAAAAACAAGCATAAAAAAAAATTCTTTGAAATTCAACACATATGAATTCCTTGAAAAGTCTCAGCACATATGATTATTGTCAAAATATTAAATTTTAATATAATATAATAAAAAAAATACATTTGTCCACCACTCCCCACATCTCCCCCACATCTCTTGCAACTACTTCTTTCAAATCCACCCTTGTTTATCCTTACACGTCACCATCTCAATCAAATCTATCGCCTTTCGCCTTCAGATCTAGTAGTTGAGTAGAGATGATGAAACGTTGAGTGTGCTGATGGTTTCATCTCATATGGTTTAATGTAGTGTAGCTTTCATGATGGGTGGTCTTTGATTTATTTGATGGTTGACAAATCTTGGCAGTGATTTGGTGTGGGCAAAATCGAAATTGAGATTGAAATAAAAGCGCTGTTTGGGAAGCTGCCAATGAGGTTAAAATAGCCTCATTTGATAAATAAGCCAAAAAATGGCACTGTTCACATGTTTTCAAAAAAAAATAATAGGTACTGCGCTGGACAGTGTAGGTTGTGCCTACACTGTCACAGCCGGAAAATTATACATCAGTGCAAAATTACTATTTTGCCCCTTTATATTAATTTAAAAAATAAAAAGTTAAGGATAAATTTGTCATTTTAAATTTAAACATCATTTCAACACACTTTTCAATACAATAACTCAACTAAAAAATCATCTCATCTTTCCAAACACAAAAACTAAAATAGCCAAAAAGCCAAATAGCCTACTAAAATAGCCACTTCCCAAACGAGGCCAATATATAGTATAGATAGATAAATAGATTTATAGATAGATAGATAGGTTGTGATTTTTAAATGTTTTTTTTTTTTAAATGTCTTCTTTTTTTTCCTTTTTTATATTATATTAAAATTTAATATTTTGATAATAATCATATGTGTTGGATTTTTCAATAAATTAAATATCTTCTTTTTTTATTATATTATATTAAATTTTAATATTTTGATAATAATCATATGTTTTGGACTTTTCACGAAATTTTTTTTATGCTTGTTCTTAATGCATTAAAGTGTTATTATAAGGGATAATAATCATATGTGTTGGGACTTTTCAAAGAATTTATATGTGTTGGATTTCAAATAATTTTTTTATGTTTGTTCTTAATACATTAAAGTGTTATTATGAGCGTAAGACTTGGGGGTTAGACTTGTTCTTAATGCATTAAAGTGTTATTATAAGGGATAATAATCAAATGTATTGGGACTTTTCAATGAATTCATATGTGTTGGATTTCAAATAATTTTTTTTTTTATGTTTGTTCTTAATACATTAAAGTGTTATTATGAGGGTAAGACTTGCGGGTTAGGAGAAGTTAATAAATGCTATTTTTTTTTTAAATCAAAAAATTAAAAAATTTAGATTCGGAGATTGGAACTCCCACAACGCTTGGGGTTGAAAACCCTTTTTCATTTAATATATAGTATAGATAGATAGATATATATATTCTAAACTATTAAATTGTTAGCATTTACCTCTATTTAAATAACCATA